AGACAGACAGACAGACAGACAGACAGACAGACAGACAGACAGACAGACAGACAGAGATAGAGAATAAGACATAGAGAGTGTGAGTAGAGGCAGAAAAAGGGAGAGAAGAAATAGTTTTAATGAGACGAACAGAAAGGAAGAAAAGGAAAGTAGAAATCATTTCTCATAATGTTGTGCATTGTCAAAGCTGGACTTAAATTCAAAGACTGGGCTTATCAATTATTCTGAAAAATGATATTTCTCCAATATGTTTATAAGTCTCCGCGTTATCTAATAGTTAAGAGAGTTTTAAACAGATTCTTAAACGTTAAATATGTGTATCTCTCCAACACTTCAATACATAAGGCCCCTGTTTTTCTGCGTAACGTGTAAATATATTATCAGCAAGGCAAATACAAGAAATGGGTGGTTGGCGGGTGCTCTGGTGTGGTTTGCTTCTTCTTTCCTGTCAAACATCTATCGTCCTTACTCCCCTTCTTCTTTTTTATGTTTGTTACTCTCTTGTAACAGCTCTAATCTTCTGGGGCTCATTTGAGCTTATGCAGTTGCGAGCGCCGTAAAACTTATACTAAAACTAAACTAATGACAAATGGCTGTTAGCAATTTTGAATTTTTATTAATGTGTTCTAGTATCAACCACCCCAACCCCTTCCACACACAACCCCCCCCCAAAAAAACAACAAAAACAAACAAAAACAAACGAACAAAAAAAATAACCCAATAACAAACAAACAAACAAGCAAAATCTCGTCACTTCACAACCCATGTCGTTCACATTATAGGCGACCGAGTCTGGCGATCGGCCAAATCCAGCGTACGGTAATGGGCACCCCGTATTACTTTTCAAGTGACCACAAGGAGTCTCAAGTATAGAAACTTCATCTTATACGTCATCAACAAGCTTCAGATTTCACTTGAATCTCAGTTTCAGTAATAGGAGGGATGGACTGACTCCTTTATAGTGATTTTGTTGTGCATGCATGAGAGGGAGTGAGAGAAAGAAAGTGTGTGTTTGTTTGTGTGTGTGAGTGTGTGTGTGTGAGTGTGTGTGTGTGTGTGTGTGTGTGTGTGTGT